GTAAATAATTATTGACTCTTGCCTCAAATTTCTTCAAAACTTTAACAAACCTCTTTTGTAAATTCAGCAAGAAGAAATTATTCCAACTGCTCTCTAGGATTGGTATTTTAATTTTATTCTTAATTTTTAAAATTTCATGAGTTGGTATATAGATGATACATGAAAGATATAGATGATAGATAGATAGATAGATAGATAGATAGATAGATAGATAGATAGACAGATAGTTGATAGATAGATGATAATAGAGATAATAGCAGTAGATATGATAGAGATAGGGAGGGAAATATATGTTTATCCAGTAAGAAATTATTTTTCTCATTGTTCTCCATATTTAAGTTAAATAAGTTTTATACCAATTTTTTTTATTTAACATCTTATTCTGGGAACAGACTGTTTAGAAGAATACACAAATGGTCATTTTGTTATAACTCCAATGTTGAAAATTCATCAAAATGCATTTAATTGATAAAAAAAATAATTTCAAAGTTAATATTTAAACTCAAATATTTCCACATTTTCTGGGCTCTTAATCCATTTAAAACTTTCTGTAGCTAAAACCTTGTCTTTCTTCTTGCTCTGTATTTTCAATCCTTAAAGTTTATAAAGATATGGTTTCTTTTTCTTATATTAAGGATTGAAAACAGTCAGGCTGTTTCCAACCATATCATTTAAACTTCTGTAAAGCAGTTAATAGGCACTTTCCTAAAGTCATTAGCAAAGGAAGTACAAACTTTGTGTCCTTTCAAACCTCTGTCTGCGGGTGGGGAAAGATGGTAAATTTCCTCATATCCAAGTTTCCACCCTGTGAAAACTGCTGCCTTGCAGTCTTCTCACAAGAAACAAATGTATGGAGAACAACAGGGGCAATCTCACATCCCCCCTTTCTCCACAAAGGGTCAAAAGAAGCTGATCTGCTCTTTGGCTCTTTTTTGTAGCTGTAATCTTCAGCTCTGTATTCATGGACACATCTTCAGTCCACCATCTTCCTGAGGAAGTATTTTGTGCAATAAATGCTGGTTTTAAAAATGCAAGAAATATAATTCATCAATATTTATTTGGGTTTTGAAAATATCTACAATATGACACTGTTAAGGCCTGGCATGTGGCAGAGAATTTCTTCATAGCTGCCAAGAGGTAACTTATGCATCCCACCCCATTCCATCATCACACAGATTACAGGGATCATTACCATAAGTGTATATTACAGGCCACCCAATCAATCAGAAGAAATAGACGAACTCTTTGCCAACCTCTTAACAAATGTATTAGGAAGCATACTACAATAGTAATGGGGTACTTCAACTATCCAGATATCAATTGGGAGACCAACTCTGTAGCAAGTGGGAGATCAAACAGATTCCTAAACTTTATCATCCAAAAGCTAGAGTAGGGAACTAGAAGTAAAGCTATACTGGACCTAATTCTTACTAATGGAAAAGAAGTAATAGAGGAAGTAGAAGTTGCTGGAACCTTGAGTGAAAGTGACTGTGTCATACTGGAATTCAATATAATGCAAACAGAAGCAATAGAAAAAAATTCAACCAGTGTGTAAATCCTTGCCTCTCCTCTCCGCTCAAAAGCAATAGCACTTAGATTTATATACTGCTTTATAGTGCTTTACAACTCTCTCTAAGTGGTTTACAGCATATTGCCCTCCAAATTTTGGGTCCTCATATTACCCACTTCAGAAGGATGGAAGCCTGAGTCAACCTTGAGCCTGGTGAGAATTGATCTGCTAAATTGCAGGCATCCAGCAGTCAATAGAAGTAGCCTGCAGTATTCTAACCACTGTACCACCATGGCTCAAGAAAGTGGAACTCTTGAAACAATTGGTATTTTAAAAGGAAACTTTTATTGAGGGAAAGTGATAGCAAGACAAAGAAAGCAGGTCCCCTTACCACCAGAATGGCTGCATCCTTATAGGGATGGGACCTGGCTGCATCCTTATAGGGATGGGACCTGACTCAGTATCTTAAACTTTAAAAGAGCTGATCTTAATAAACTGAGAGAAAGTGTAGGAAAGATTCCATGGATGAAAATCCTAAAGGGGAAAACAACTCAAGAAGCATGGGAAACTCTGAAAAATGTGATCATAAAAGCCCAGTCCAGGACAATACCACTGAATGAGAAAAACAAGAAATTCAAAAAGAAACCAGGATGGCTGCACAAAGATCTCTCTGACACACTGAAAGACAAAAAGGACAAACACAAAAAATGGAAAAAAAGGAAACATAATTAAGGCTGATTATCAGCAGACAGTCAGAACATACAAAGATGAAGTCAGGAAAGCAAAGGCTCAGATTGAACTAAGGCTTGTTACAAAAGTCAAAGGTAATTTTAAAAGTTTCTTTCAACATATTAATACATCCCAGAGTTCTGAAGGTGCTGGCAGAGGTTATGTCAGAACCTCTGTACCATATCTTCCAAAATCCTGGAGCACCAGGGAAGTACCTGAAAATTGGAAAAGGGCTGATGTAGTTTCCGTGTTTAAGAAAGATAAAAAAAACAGAGTCAGGAAACTACAGATCAATCAGTCTAATATCAATACCTGGGAAGATCCTGGAAAAGATAATAAAAAAAGATATGTGAATAACTAGAAGCAAATTAAGTTAAAGTTATAAAGCAAACAGTAGTCAGGATGGGTTTGTTAAAAACAGATCATGTCAAACCAATCTTATTTCATTCTTTGATAAAGTCACTAAATCAATAGACTGGGGAAATGCTATTGGACATAGTATACTTAGATTTCAGTAAGGCTTTTAAAAAAGTAGACCACAATCTACTTCTTGGTAAACTAGAAAAATGTGGAATATACAACATCACCACCAGATGGATTTGTAGCTGGCTGACAAACCAGACTCAACAAGTAGTCCTTAATGGTACTATGTCCACATAGAGAGAAGTAAGCAGTGGGGTACCACAAGGCTCTGTCGTAGGCCCAGTACTCTTCATTATCTTGACAGATGATGGAATAGAAGGGGAACTCATCAAATTCACAGATGATACTAAACTGGCAGGAATAGCCAACACCCCAGAATACAAGTTCAGGATCCAAAAAGATCTTGACAAACTTGACCAATGGCCCTTATCCAACAAAATGAATTTTAATGTGGAGAAAAGCAAAGTTTCACATTTAGGCAGGAAAACTCAAAGGTATAAGTACATGTTATATGAGACCTGGATCAAAAGCAGTAACTGTGAGAGGGACCTTGGAGTCCTAGTGGATGATCACTTGAATATGAGCCTGCAGTGTGGAGGAGCAGCCAAAATGCTAATACAATCCTGGATTGTATATTCAGAGGCATAGAATCAAGATAACATGAAATATTAGTGCCACTTTATAAAATCCTAGGAAAACCACACCTACAACACTGCAGCCAATTTTGGTCACCATACTACAAAAAAGACTTGGGAAAAAGTTCAAAGAAGAGCAACTAAGATGATCAAGGGCTTGCAGACTAGACCTTATGAAGAATGGCTGCAAGTTTTGGGTTTGGCTAATCTAAAGTAAAGAAGTATGGGTGACGTGATAGCAGTATTCTAGTATCTGAGGGGCTGCCACAAAGAAGAGAGAGTCAAATTATTCTCCAAAGCACCAGAGGACAGGACAAGAAACAATGGTTGGAACTAACCAAAGAGAGAAGCAACCTGGAATTAAGGAGAAACTCCCTAACAGTGAGGACAATTATCCAGTGGAACAGCTTGCCTTCAGAAATCGTGAGCACTCCATCACTGGAAATTTTTAAGAAGAGACTAGACAGTCACTTGTCTGCAATGGTATTGGTTCTCCTGCTTGAGGTTGTCCCAGATCTTGTGTTAAGATGAATGGAGCCTCTTTCTGGATGTGTTTTTGTCAATAATTTTGTATTGAGCAATCTTTCTTTGTTTTGTATTTTACTTTCATTGTATATTTGGTTTTGTAGTTTATTATATTGTGAGCTACTCAGAGTTGGTTTTGAATCCGATGGCACCTCAATTCATTGATTAATTGAAAAGTATATTATCAAAACAACTTCTATTACTACTACTACTAATATATGCTTATTGGGACAGTTGCCTAAAAGTTGTTTCATTCCATTTTTGTAATTGTACTAGGGACCAAGGCAATGTTTTGTTCTGGTAGGAAAAATATTGAAATGAAACTTGAAAAGAAAAAGAAAAGGCAATGCTGTGTTTTCATAGCTACAAGAAAGCATGGCCTAGTCTACTAAGCCTAGGTTTCAGAAGCGGAGCTGTTCTTTGTGTCATTCTAAACCATTTATTTTAAAGGGTATACATTCTTCAGGAAAGAAATTAATACCCAACACGTGCTTCATAGACATAGACTTCATGATCATTGAATACTTTCAATCTGTAGAAAATAAGGCAAAATACTTACAAGAATTAGTCAAATATTGGCCTTGCAACCTGGAGAAGGAGATGGCTTCTTCAGCAGCTGACTGGGGAGAGCAAATAGAATCTTACTATTGTAAAAGAGATGCTTGTGGGAGTTTCTGACAAATGTCCTGCAGTAAATTCCTTGACCTCAGATAAACTTTTAACTTAAAGTTGAGGTAAATTTCCTACTCCACCCCAGGCAGGAATTATTCATGCACTTATATTCTATGTATCTTCTCTTTTTACCCTGAAAAACTTCTATTATGTCTCTCCCACCCCCACATTCTGTCTACTGATGTTGGCTCATCTCTAAGATGAGCAGCAATATTCATTTGGAAGCAGCTCTGTAACTTCCTGATGGCTTCAGGGATTTTGGCCAGAAACTATGTAACATCACTGAAAAGGTTTGGGATGGAGACAACAAATAAATAGATAGGTAGATAGATAGATAGATAGATAGATAGATAGATAGATAGATAGATAGATAGAGAGGGGGGGAGAGAGATGATAGACAGAAAGATCAACCATTAAAATAATCTTAGAAAGACTTTGGTATAAACAATTTTTTAAAAACTTACATCTTTCAAAAATTCTTCAACTTTAAATCCTGCCAATCACTTCAGGTTCCTATGTCTTAGCCCATGTTTGGGGACGAACATGAAAACACTTAATTAGCTTCCTCATAGAGACCTGTTAAAATACAAGTTTTTTTTTTTAAAGCCAATGCTTGTTTTTAGAAAGAAGTATAATTGTGTGGAAAATAACGGATTACTCATTGGCTGGCATCCTAGGTGAAAGGGAAGCACTCAAAATGTGGTCAGCCTGCAGGCAGCAAGAGCAAGACAATCACCAGGGATGCCAGACCCCACATGCTCACGGCCTCCTGTAGGTGCTCCCTAAGGGAGTACCCAACTGGCCAGGGATGGATTGGGGCAGAGGGAGTAGGGGCTGGCCCCTCGCTGTCTCCAGGACAGCCCTGGAGCCCTGGCAAGGCTGACCATGTTCTGGCCCGGGTAGCTGCCATGAAGTTGTTGTAAAACAGTGTATAGTAGAGTTCCAACAGCCTTGCCTGTTGTCCATGCAGCCCATGAGCACTTCCCTTTTATTGGGATGGCCCCTCTCCCACCTCCCACCCTTTGGTGGGAAAGCCATGGCCACTGGCAGTGCTGCCACTCTCTCCCCTTCCCCTCATCTCTTCCTGAGCACAGAGGGAGGGAAGGGGGGGGGGAGGAAAGATGGAAGGAAGGAGATGGGAATAAGAAGGAAGGAGGGACAGAAGGAAGGAGGGAGGGTAAGGGTGAGAAAGGAAGGAGGTGGAAATGAGAGAGAGGGAGGGTCTGAGGGAAGTTCTGCCTTAGCACTTGGTGACCAGCAGCCCTGCTGCCCTTTTGCCACCCCCTTCTCCCCTCCTACTAGCCTCTCCTGTTGTTCTCCCAAGCTATCATTGAAAATGCTTTGATTACAAAGCTGGGTCTGCTCACATGGAGAGGGAGTGGGCCTCCCTCTGACCCATGCACATTGCCCTACCATACCCACCACAAGCAACCTGGCTCAAGAGACCGAGCACAGCAGCAACCTCAAGGAGGAAATAAGTGCATTAGGGCACCCCTCGGGGAAGCGGGACTGGGCTGGGCTGGGCTGCAGGATCCTGGTGCCCTGGGAGCTCAAGGTCCAGGCTGGGCATTTGCCTTCTGCTGCCCAGGGTTCTGGGCAGCCCATGATGTTGTCCAGAGGTCTTCTACATGGTCTGAGAGGAATGGCAAGGCTGCTCTGGTGGACAAGGCTTTGGTGCTTGCCATGGTCTCACTTTCATCCACTGGAGACCACCAGATTCCCCCTCCGAGCCTTACCTGACCCCCCACAGGCAGCAGAAGGCAACACTGCTGCAGGTGGAAGCATGGAGAGAAAGTTTGCAGGAAGCCGTTTCCTCCAAGTCCAACTTCTGCCTTGACAGATATATGGAGTGGAGGAGGGGATGGTGGACGCTGCGTTAAGGACACTACCCCAACAAGCTATCATCCTTCCCACACACTATTGGAAACTGGGTTGTCCTTTTGAGAAGGGCCAACCTCCCTCGTGGAGGACTAGGGAGCTCTGCTCTCCAGCCTCCTCCTCTTTCTCTCCAGAGATCTGTCAAAGGAAGAAGTTGGACTCGGAGGAAACTGCTTCATGCAAACTTTCTCCTCCACACTTCCATATGCAGCAATGTCATCTTCCGCCTGCTGGGAGGGGGCACCGGACAGGGCACCAGACAGGGAAATGCCCGCAATGTCTGGGATTGGGAGAAGAAAGTCTCCTTTGGTGTGCTGTGCACACACACACACACACACACACATTCCACCACTGCCAATCATGCTTGGGCTTGGGGAGAAGGCCCTCTCCTTTCTCTGAATAAAAGTCCCCAGATTTAAAATGCGGTGCATGTGTGTGTGTATGTGTGTGTATCTGTGTGTCTGTGTGTGCGCACACGGTTGGCTGCCAGCAGTTTGGGGAGGCAAGGAGCTTGTGGATTGTTCCCATGTCAAGTTATCCAGTGCAACTTATTGCTGTCCTGAGTCAGCCGTGCCCAGTGAGCGGTGTCATTCCAGCCACATTCACTCAGCCATGCCCACCTAATCACAAAGAGCCAGGTATGACCACCCAGCCACGCCTACCCAGCCATGCCCA